AGGACGGAGGGCCCACAGGGGGAGGACCGTGGACTCTGATACGGGCCTGGAAGGGGCAGTGTGGTTGTGATGTGACAATGTGCCAGGGAGGGTGGTGACAGTGGAGGCAGAGCCCCACCCGCACCCACCGAGGAGGGGAGAGGGAGAAGAAGAGGAGGGACCATGAGGGGAAAAAGTTGACACAGAAGGACCTGGAACAGACACGCTGTGTTACCAAGCAGAGGGCCCCCGGGGCTTCGCGTGCACGAGGGGTGGAGGGTCACCGAACAGAGGGCCCCTGGGGCTTCGCGTGCACGCGCGTGGGGTGAAGCGTAACTGTCGCACTCAGAGACTTGGAGCTGTGGCCGCCAACAGCCACAGGCTCGTCCCTGAGCAAATTCCTCCTGATCTCTGTCCTTCCGGAATGTGAGGGGCTCACAGTTAAATGCACAACTTCGGGGTGCCGGGCCGGGAGAGAGACACATGCAAGGAACAGCCTTCCCGTGTTCCAGAAGCCTTCCCGCGTGGTCCCGGGTCAGCGGCAGGAGCAATGGGGTACTCCGAGGGGGCCCTTTCTTAGGGGCGGAGGCAGCCTGGAACGTTCTGGAAATGGGTGTCACCGGGCAGGCCCCTTCCTTGCAGATACCGCTCCAGGGGCTTCTCCCGCCTGTCACAAACAGCACCCACACCAGGGGACCTTGGGCAGAGCCTCTCCCGCGCAGCCCCCTGACCCGGGAAGTTTCTGCAACCGCCAGAGAGCGGTCCGGGCAGGATTCCTGGGCTTGCGGGGCAGGAGGGCCCAGAAGACGTCCGGCAGCAAGTCCCGAAGAGCCATCGTGGGAGCCGCCCACTGCCCGCCCCGGGGACAAGCGGCCGGCCGGCCGTGTGAGCACAGCAGGGCCGCTCGGGGACTGCTCGGGCCCCGATGACACCCCACACCCCCTCGCAAAGAAATGCCCTCTTGCTTCCGTATTTACCTTGCAACAGAGCGGGGGTCTGAGAGGGTCGAAGCCCCGTGAGGGCTGGCGGACGCCGGGGCAGGGGCCGGGGCAGGGTGTCCCCCTGCAGCTGCCGCAACGGACCCTAACAACGGCTCTATTACCGCCCGCCCGCCCATCGGCCCGGGCGCCCTCCAAATTAGCCACAAAGAAGCCCGCCTGTCAATATTAATTCCGCCGCAGAGATGACTTGTTACGGGAGAACAAAGGTGCTCGGCTTGGGCAGAACAACTTAACTCCTTGTCTCATAAAATTTAAGCTGCTATTGATCGCCTCCTTCCATTGTGTGAAGGATTAAGGATGTGCGCACACGCAGGCGCGCACACGCAGGCGCGCACACGCACACACGCGCGCAGACACGGGCCGGGAGGGGGCTCGCCCGCGCCCCCATCGCTCAGGCGGGCTCGGCCCTCCCCCCCGCGCCCCCGGAACCATTCAGCAACACGAGGCAAATTAAATCAATGGATTCATCCTAGCAGATGGCCACTTTAACACTCAGTTAGCCTTTAGATAATTGAGCGTTGACTCCGGAATCATAAAATGGATGGCTCGTTTGTACATTTTACTGAAATAGATCGCCGAGGTTAAATAAATGAAATCCCATTTGTCAGGCGGTAATAAATGGTCTCCCCTTCTGCAAACAGCTCTGTTTGGCCTAATAAATACAGGGACGTTACAGCGCTCCTCCCTTGATAGGGTTACAGCTTAATGAAATGGTCTCCCCTCTGCTTGTTTCTGCCTCCTCCTGCACCGTGTGATAAGTAGCAAACCAACGAAGCTTGTAATTACAATCTTACAGAAACCCGGCCAATCTGTATATAAATCTCACCCTCCAATTACAAGATGTAATAATTTTGCAGTCAAGCTGGTAATGAGGTCTAATACTCACGCCTGCGCTAATCCCCCCTGGATGCTGACTCTATCAGATGTTAGCTTTGTAATTATACGGGCAGAAAATCATTATTTCATGTTCAGCAGAAAAATGAGGTTGGTGGGAAGTTAATTTTCTCTATGCTCTGTGAAGCGTAGACAAAATTTTAATGATTTAATCATTATGGTTACCCCTTCTGCAATTGACCCACGTTACTCGTGTAGAAACATTGGCACATTTAAAAGTCCCTGTTACCCGATAAAGCTTGCCAGGTATGCAGCTTTTAATGTAAGAATAACTGTATACAATTAAACTATTACCCTGCTGCTAGGGAAAGTTCATTGTATTTTTAGTTTTCATTATTGGCGTGTATGATTCACGGAGATGCTTATGTCTTGCCCACACTCTAATAAATGGCTAATTTAAAAAAAAAATTGAATTATGCTTTCCCGATTATGTCAACCCCGCAAAACATCATCATAAAAGACCGATGCAAGCAGGTGATTGCTGTGTGTCGGCCTGAGAAGTCATGGCTACTGGGTCTCCTGTTAGGAATGAGAACAAAATGGGGGGGGGGGAGTTGCCAAGACCCCATTTGGGGACTGTGACTTCTCGGATAGAGGCTTTAATATTTCCAAGGCTGGATGGGGCAGTGTTTAAAACAATGCACTCTCAAATGTAAGTGAAATAATTTGCTTCTAACAGTATTTTCATTCCATATTTTTGGTAACTCTTTGGGGACATGGGGAAATCACACACGTGCGCACACACACGCATGCGTGCACACACACACTTGGCATTTCACACGTGTGCACACACACGGCATTTCAAGCAAGTTACAGGCTAAAGGAAAGTAAGGGAGGAAGGTTATTAGCATCACACTCTCCAGGAAGATAAATTTAGTGGTAGACTTTTGAAAACATAAAACAGCATCCTCCCTGTGCTGTATTCGTGGTAAACCTAGCTTCGTTCTGAAACCCTGAAAACGTCAGAGAAGTGTTTCTGGCGGCCTGGTCTACGCTTGCCGGTAGCTTAGCTCCTTCCTTGCTTCCATCCCCCCTGCTCGGGGTGTTGGCAATCCCACACGACAGGTGGACCGATGTCCCAGTGAGTCACGCACGGTGCTCAGGGTACAGTCGCGCTCCTCGTTCCAGGTTTACCTTTCCCCCCCGTCCATGCTTTTCTGCGAAAGTGAAGTCTTCTGAGTAGACCTGACCCGCCTGCCTCCCTAGGACCATCAGCTGCCTGGGGTGGGGCCCCGAGGACAGAGATGCAGCAGTTTGTGCGTTGGTGTGACGAGCAGGGGTAGCCGCGCAAAGGAGGAGACCCCAAGGAGGCGAGCCGCCATGGCTAGGGGCGGGGGAGGAGGAAAATTCGCAACCGGTAAAGCAGCCTTTTGCTGAACCTCATCCACGTGGAGAGACTGGCAGATAAAATTTCACGCACATTATAATGATAATTTCCAGCCAGGTGCATGTGGGTGAGTCAACCTCGGAAGTTGGTTTCTTCCTTCACAAAAGGCCAATCACAACTCTTGGAACATCAAGATAATTAAAGAATCTGCCTTGTTGGGATGCAAGCCAAAGGGACGATTCTCAGCCGACGCTGTGTCGGTCTCACGCGTCAGCACAGCTGAGGATCTTGGGAGACACAGAAGGACCCTTGCACCGAGGTGGCATTCATTTTTTTTTTTTTTTTTAAGAAGAACTTTCCTTCCACCTAACCCAAAGAACGGTGCATCTCAACTGCTCTGTTTCCTTCTTGAGGTAAGTAGGGTGTGGCTGTCTTGACCTTTTGCAAGATGGGAGTGAGTGGTTGGCAGATTATAGTCTGGTCTGAGGGGTGGGTTTAGAAGGTCCGAGCAGCTCCCCCCCCCACCACAGGTGCTCAGTCTAGGACTCGGCTCTCATCTGTGTGTACGTATGTGTGTGTGTGTGCGAGTACTTGTCTATCATCCAGCATCTATCAGCTATTATCTATTTATCTATCTATCTATCTATCTATCTATCTTTCTCCTCCTCCTTCTCCTCCTCTTTCTTCTTCTTCACCTTCATCATCATCATCATCATCTCCTGCTGGTTTTGTTTCTCTGGAAAACCTGTTTAACCCTGTGGTCAAAACTCAGTATTTATTTCTGTGAAGGGGACAGGCATTAATCTGCAGAGTAACCAGATTCTCTACCAAAGGAAGACATTTTTCTTTCCAAAAAAAACCCCCCAAATAACAGACTATGTGACTAAGCACAGGAGGAGACTGGTGAAGCACACCAGAGCCGTGTGACGGCGCGTCCACTCAGTGCACCGGGCGCGAGTGTCCCCTGCTTCTCCCCCCACAGCCTCCGAGGCCGGTCTTCGGCAGGGAGGCATCAGCTCCAAGGGCAGATCTCTGGCTCCGAAGGAAGGCAGGTTAGTGGATTTCGATGCAAATGGTTTGCTTGTATTTCTAGGTTGTTTTATTTTCGCATAGTTTCTGCAAACTCCCCCGAGTCCTTTGGGGAGGAGGCAGGCAGGACTCGTGCGTGCACATCAGTAAAAAGGAAATATCAACCCTAACCAAAAACGAGATGTTTGGGTGGCCGTGGCATGCTGGGGTCAGATGCCTGGCACTGACATTTGGGGTCACAGAGGGCGCCTCTGCCACGTTCCCCACCACGTGCCCGTCGGTGCCGCCGTGGGATGCCGCGCGCACTTGCCCCAGGAAGGTCCAGCCTGGAGTTCGCTGCGGGCAGGATCAAGAAGGCAGTCAATGTGGGTTTGAGTCCTGCCTGGACATTTGACTGTGCGGTCAGAGACTGAGACGGCATACTGGATAATCGTCCTCCTTCAGGGAGATCTTCCGAGGGTCGAATGCGCAGGTGCTGTTTAGCACAGTGGCCGGAAAACGGCAGTTTCTTGGAAAATGTCGCCGCGGTTTAACCCGGATTTTGAGTCAACCCTGCCCGCGACTGACACAGCAACGTGTCTGGCGGTAGGGGGCAGTGTTCTGGGAGCGCGCTCTTCGTCAGCCACGCCCGTTTGGAGGCGGATGTGGTGCGGGGGCCGCGGGACGGGAAGCCACTCTGCTGAGCGCGGGGACAAGGGGCGCGGATCCGGAGGCACAGCCTGCAGACGGCGCCACCTCCCACTACTAACCCGTCCCCACGTCCTTTGCTCCTGTGCGCACGAAGCACGATGACAGCAGCTTCGCCAAAGTTCTTCTTCCTGTGATGAGACGGCAGAGATTCTGCTAGATATTGGGAAAATGGAGGACGCGCTCAGGGTTTTCTTCTCCCTGACGTCTTCGCCGTGGTTACGTTGGCGCCCAGGCAGCGTGTGCGCGGGACCCGGTGGGCGCGTAAGGAGCGAGCGGGACCTCGTCCACATCCTCCCCGCCCTCGGGTGGCCGGCGCATCCCTGACGCCCACCAGGACCAGAAGGCCCCGCGAGAGGACTTGGCTGGTGACCTCGCGGCAGGAGACTGTCGCGGCTCAAAGAAGCTACCGGCACCAGAAGCCCAGCGTGCTCCCTGTGGACCCAGTTTCCGGGACCGTGACCCCCAGCTAGATGTGGCCAGTGGAAGGGCTCGGCTTGCAGTCCAATGAGGGTGATTCTTAAGATTCAGACTTTCGAGGGGGAGAGTCAAGGGTCTCTCTGTTCCATGCCCTGGTCGGTGACCCGAGGAGAGCTACCGAGCTCCTTACGGCTCAGCACCCTTCTCCCCGAAGCGCAGACCCAACAGCACTTCCCGTGGCTGCCGTGAGGTGGGGAGTGGTTGGCAGGAAACCGAGTTGGTGGAGACACGGATTTGGAGTAAAACCAGGCTTCCGCCCTCCTCCCTATGGCCCCTTTCACTAGGATGCACCCTCACACACACACGTGCACACACACGCCAGCACACCTCTAAAAGCAATGGAAGTGGAGAACTGCCCAAAGTCAAGAGCGGGAGAGGCCGGGATCCTACTGCGTGATACTCAGCCCACTCCATGCCCCCCTCTGCTCCGCGCCCCGGGCTCCGGGCGCCCCGCCCCCATCTCTCCCTGAACGTGTCCCCTGCCGTGTCCCCAGCAGGGCAACTCCATAGCGTCTGACCAACAGTCTGCCTTGGTCTCCTGGCCTTTCCCACATGCGGCTTCATGGCAGTCGGAGGAGGGAAACCCCCTGCAGACCCCCCGTGGGAAGCGGGGGAGGGGGCCTTTAGCTTGTTTGTGCCGAACCCTGACTGCCACGCTAAACGCAAGTGTCCTTTCAAGTTACTGACGACCGATGCCAATTTCTGAGATGGTTTTCCTATAAATGTAGGGGACAGTATCCTGTGGTTTGCAAACCACGAGTTACGACTCTCCCTTTATATGTGTGTTGGTTGGTTTCCCGCTGCAGTGAAGGAACCAGTTTCACAGCGTGGGGCTGGGGACCCCCAGATCACCTCTCAGATGAACACAGTCCAGTTTCCCAAATTCCTGGGACTAAAAATAATTCTATCCCAGGAAAGGGCAATTTTTTGTAATGACGAAATCCCTCATTAGGTGAAGGGTCCCCCCCCCCCCCTTTAAAGTCTGGTAACTCCTTTGTTTGTTTGTTAAACCTTTCATATTAAGGGTTGAGAGATGATAAGATTCCCCATGGACAGATGGCTATGTCTTTCTACGTTTCCTGTTTTTATTTTAATCACAGATAGTTATTGAGACTCGGTATCAGAATTGTACTTTTGATTCCTAATATACGCCAAAATACATTTTATCAAATATTTATAGTGGAGTCATGCATAAAGCATATAACCTCGAGAACACGAACTATCAATTTGTACTGCTCTGGACTCCATTTGGCGAGTTAAGGGATTAGGAATGAGATTTAAGGAAAAGCCAAAGGGTACATTTGTTTGTGATAAATATTTTAAGCATCTGTCATAAAATGTGGCCAACCCTGTCTGCACTTTGATGACTGATTTCCATGTTTTATCTCTCTCCTCACCCCGAGTTCTTTTTGTACATTTTCGCAGATAACTGCCGTGATTTTTCTTGCCCTGAAATTTCTGAAGTTCACTTGGAGGAACTCTTTCGGAACGGTGGACTTTGGGGGGAGGGCTTGAAAAGAAAGAGCCCAACCTCCCGCCCCCGGACAAGGACTCTGCACGTGAAGCCGGAAAGGTCTAGACGTCTCCCGGCAAATCTTGCCGATGGGCGGAACCAGGCTGGACGCAAACCCCTCTGCACACTCTGATGGTGCCTGCTCTGCAATTTCTGTCCGGTCTTAATAAGGAACAGTTCTTTCTATCAGTGCGCCTGCCCGGAGGGTATACGGTTCGACACAGGTTTCATGCCGCAGGTCTTCTCACTTTTAGAAGGTCCACCTCAAGATAAAGCACTTGATTTCACCCTCGGGGTAAGCGTTGACTCCCACACATTTAGAATCTTCTTCTTGGCAGATGGAGTTTCTCCTCTCGGAGGAGAGTATTTGCATTTTTTGGATTAGGGGGAGATTTTGACAAACCGGAAGTCCTTTGAATCATACATAATAAAGCATGTTGGAATGGTGTCGAACATGTTTATTAAAAATACATGTGTTTGCACTGGCAAGAAGCCTTTCAGAAAATGCCCAGAGTTCCCAGGCACTTTTCAGATTCTCTAGGTAGTAAGTGATCACTTTTCCGTTTTCCTAAGCGTGCCGCGTTGCCTTACATCCTCGTGTGTCCGGAAGTGCGGCGAATAAAGCGCTGTGCCTCGCCTCCAGAGCTCCCGTTCGTTATCCCGACACCGTTGGCTGTTGCTACATGATAGGTTATTTTGGGGACAGAGGTATCCTTTCTTCTACATCCAGTCAAAACGACCCTAAACTTTTTCAGAAGATGAACATCCGACTTTTAACTGCCATCATGATTAAAGAGACCCAGTGAAAACTGGGGACTGTTAGATGTGCTAGTGACGAATTCTTGTAGCATCCTTCCTCCGTAAACGTCTCTGTTTCCCCTCCTCCCCGCAGGCAGCTCCCCGCTCCCCAGAGGAGTCCGTCAACGCCCCCCTCCTGGGGCTTGGCGAGATGTGCTGCTACTTCCTTCTGGCCACCATGGCGGGAGGTAGACAGTCGGAGATCCCCGGGACGATGAGCTTTTTCTCTTCTTTCCCAGTTTGTTCTTCGATTTTAGTTTCTACAAGTTTAGCTCGGAGCGGGGGGGGTGTGGTTGTGTTTGTCTGCTTTTGGTTCGTCCCGTGTGACTTTCGCTCACCTTGTATGTGGAGGCTTGTGTCTTTCAGCAAACTCGGAACGTTTGCAGCCAAGGTTTCTCCAGACACTTTCACAGCCTCCCCTCTGCCCTCTCCCTGGAGATTTCGGTGATGTGACGCCGGGCCCTGTGCTGTCGCCACGGTCTCCGTTTTTCCCGTCTCTTCTGTCTCTGTTGTTCCTGCTGTGCGAACCCTGCCGCTCTCCCCTCAGGCCCACTGGTTATTTCTGCTGTCTCTTCGCTCTGCAGGGCTCCACTGGCTGGACCTTTCCCTTCGACGAGTCCCGTTTGGTTATTTTTTACAACTTCAATTTCTTGTGATTTTCTTTCACTTGGTTCAAGGCAATTTGTAAGCGATTATTGAAAGATTTTTCTGACAGCTGCTTTCAATTCCTTGTTGGATAATTCCGACGTCTGATTCAGGTCAGTGTTATTAAGAGCTGAGCGTGTGCTGTCACTCCAGTCGTGACCGTTGCGTGATCTACCCCAGACACCCCGCCTGTCACGTTAGGAGACAGTGGTCCTACCGCAGCCGTCCTGGTTGGGTGTAGCACACGGGTCCTGGCCTCCTTTTGTGGTGCTGTTTGGTGGGCTTGCCCGCTGGCCCCGATGGCATCGCCCGAGAGAGTGGAATGGGTTCCCGCCAGGCCCCGGTGTCTCTCACTGGCAAAGACCTCTTGGGGTGTAGGAGGACAGAGAGACTTCCATGTTGGGCACTTGCCATGGTGGGACTCCTACCAGTGTCCCTGGATGCTTCTGGGTCTCTGAGCAGGAGACGGGGCTCCAGCCCAAACTCAATGCAGAGGGACGCGAAGACGGAGGGGATGGACGATAGGATGGGAAGCAGAGGGAGACTGTGTCCCCCAAGCGATCAGATTGGGGGAAGTCGGGGTGGATGGCTGTGACGTTTCCACTGACGATGGGACCCCTGGAGGTTAATAGGATGCCCGGTGCCAGGAAGGTAGATGTGCTGACTCTACAGCATTCTCTCTGTATCCTCTGTTGCTGCTTATTAATCAGGAAACCATTCGCGTAGGCGGGTGACACTTTAATGTGTCTGCCTGTTTCCTTTAATATGGATTTCACAAGAAGCTGAAATCAAATTAAATCACATTGTTGTGGTATTTTCCTCACTTTTTAAGTTAACGAAATGCCCAGAGGTGCTGAGGACATATTTGACAAAGTAACTTCATTAATCTCTGGGCAGGAAACAGGGAAATACCTACAGGGCCGCACACAGTCAGTGTCCCAGCGTCACCAGCGAGGTTGTGTCTGCAGTGGGGTGTGTCCGGCGCTGTGCTCGGTCCGCAGTTACACGATCCTACGGCACAAGCTAGGCCTGGGGCTGGGCCGTGCTCCGGCCTGGAAGGTGCCGTGCTGTTTCCAGCAGGTGCTCTGATTCTCCAGCAGGACTGAGGGCCCTTGGTTTTGCGGAGGGCACACGGGAGGGCAGGGAGGGAAGCCGCCGCAGGTGCAGGAACCCCGGGCGCGAGGGGTGGGCCGCACGACACCACAGTGTGCTTTGGGCTGGGGAAATACATCCTGGTTTTCCAGGAAGAGCTAACGGTGAAGATCGGTGACTTTGGTTTTTAGAGCAGTTTTAGATGTACAAGAAAACCTAGCAGAAAACGCAGAGTCCTTACGTGCAATCGTCTCCCCCAGACCATCGCGCCCCTATCACCGGCGTCTCATGTCGGCGCAGTATGGTGACTACAGTTCGCGGAGGGGCGTTACCACAATATTATCAATTACAGTGCCATCAGGACCACTGTGTTCTATGGGTTGGGACAAATGTGTAATGACACGCATCCACCGGTACGGTAAAGCGCAGAAACCACTCAGCATTTCAGTGTCTTCAGAGCTGTGCACTTTCCAGAACGTCACAGAGTTGGAGTCCTTCGGTGCGGAGCCTTTTCAGCCTGGCTTCTCTCCCTTAGTGATACGCATTTTGTTTTTCCCCATATCTTTCTGTGGCTCGATAGCTGCTTTCTTTTCAGTGCTGCATGAAATCGCGCCGTCCGGACGGACCCCTGGTTGTTTATTCGTTCACCTGCTGAGGGACACGCACCCTGCCTAGTCAACCCTTTTAGGGCAAGAACGTCAAGGTTGAGACATCGTATATTTTTAAGGGGAAGAGACTGTGGGGTCCATGCATTTTTACCTCTAAGAGCTTAAGTGTTCCAAGGCACAATCCAACTGTGCAGGAAAATCAGAAACCAAAAGGACTACATATCTAAAAACTGCTCTTGGCTCTACTGAGAGGTGTTTATTTGACTTGCAGGTTTGGGCAACGGCACTCCTAGCAAACACTGCAGGGCTTTGGCGAGAGGGCCTGTGGTCGGGGGCAGGGGGCGTGGAAGGACCCACAGTGGGGGGACCCGGGGTCTATGTCCCAGAAATGCGGAAAATCCAGGGAAATTTGCTTCCCTCAAAGCACTACTTTATACGTTTATTCTTCAGTCCTTACCTTTTCACATATTAAATTCAGGCTGTCTTCCAACGAAGTTCAAGCATTATCTTGAAAGATGTCGGGCAGAACAGTGGCTTCACTTGTACACACAAAGATAACACGGCCCCTGCGATCGTACCGTGTGTAATTACACAGGGGCATCAGAATCAGCAGCTCTTGATGCAAATCACGTCACCACAGCTCTGTTTCAGCGGCGGGATTTAGGGGGAAACGTTGTTACTTTACAAAACGCGACAATTTGAACATAAGCAGAACTAACAACTCCTCCACTTTCCCCACCGCTATAGATGTTCTGTTATTTTTACCCCCAAATGAAGTGAACGGAACTCAGTCTTCAGACGAAGCCGGGGCTGTCCTGCAAACAGGAACACGGGCGCGGCACTTAGGAAGGTGAACCCAGATACACCTGCAGGACGGTCAAGTCCCCACCGGCCACCGCTAGGGTGTTCTCCACCAAAGGGGCTGACGTCCGTGCGGACACCACGCAGAACCCGTTTGCGGAAACTTCTGGTCACACTTGGAAAGTTTGGCAGATGGCGTCTCTTCTGCTTTGATTTTTTTTTTTTTCAATTTTTTTTTCCCCCGGAAACTCCAGCTCCAGGCCCTCGACCCCCCAGTTGGATACCTTTTTTGGTAATAGATCTAATCAGCAGCGTGTTAGACAAGAGAGGCCCTTTATGGGCGCAGTGTTAGGACAAGCGGAGCGCGGCTGTAGATGGCTAGAATAAACAACTCGGACCCGTTCAATTACAACGCTGGGGCCCGGCCTTTATCTGGCTGTGACATCATTTCAATCAAAATGTAAAATGATACAATCCAATAGTGGGGAGAGGTAGAGATAGGACACAGGCGGCTGCACTTAGTCATTTAATAAAGAGAAGAAAAAGGTGGGGTGGCCTCCTTCTGACAGCCGGCGAGGCCTCCGGTTCCCAAACTCCATTACCTGCTATAATAGTATTCACAAGAAGCCGGCGCAGGAAATTGTCTATTACTTTTTATTAGTGGAAGCTGTTATGCAGGATACAGCCTGGTGCGCTGTTTTTTTTTTTTTTTTTTCTTGCTTTGTTCGTTTAATTAACAAAAGCATGAAATCTCCCTATTGGCAGCTTTTCCCCCTCCAAGCAGGGATTTTATTCATTTCTTTTGTCTCCTTTGAATTTTTTTTTTTTTTTTAACACTGATGTTTTTCAGGACTCACGGATCGGTGTGAGAAGAAAAACATAATTCAAGGGCAAATACGTCGTCTTGGCACTGGTCGGGCGGCCGAAGGACCAGCGCGGTGCGTCCTTCTCTACGGCGCTCGGTGCGAAAGTTTCCCTGCCGCTTCTGAGACTCTCGTGGTCAGTCACCTGCTCCGTGTGGGGCTTCTCCAAACGGCCCTGCTGGTTCCACCCGTTGGGCCCGAAAGCAAGAAAGAGAAAAGGAGGTGACGTCTTAGAAAGAGGGAGCGAAGGGCGCCTGGGTGGCGCAGTCGGTTAAGCGTCCGACTTCAGCCAGGTCACGATCTCGCGGTCCGTGAGTTTGAGCCCCGCGTCGGGCTCTGGGCTGATGGCTCAGAGCCTGGAGCCTGTTTCCGATTCTGTGTCTCCCTCTCTCTCTGCCCCTCCCCCATTCATGCTCTGTCTCTCTCTGTCCCAAAAATAAATAAAAACGTTGAGAAAAAAAAAAAATTAAAAAAAAAAAAAAAAAAGAAAGAGGGAGCGAAGGGGCACCTGGGCGGCTCAGTAGGTTAAGGGTCTGACTCGTTTTCGGCTCAGGTCGTGACCTCACCGTTTGTGGGTTCGGGTCCCCCATCCGGCTCTACACTGACACCAAGGTGCCTGCGTGGGATTCTGTCTCTCTCTCCC